CGCAGCATCAACCATGTTCAAAGTTCAAGCCTTCTATCCACGTTCCTGTTCTTGATGTAAATCATTCTCTTAAAGCAAATGTTTGCGTCTTAAATGTGTAGGACCGGTGGAGGTAGCTGCTGTTGGAGTTTCCATCGCTATATTCAATCAAGCATCAAGGATTACCATTTTCCCGCTGGTTAGCATAACAACTTCTTTTGTTGCTGAAGAAGATACTCTACGAAAAATTAGCCCTGAAGCGGAAAAATGTGAGGATTTGGAAAAGAGTGGACATAAGGACAATGAAATGAAAGAGTTAATGCCCGAAGATGTTGTGTCTGACAACTTGGAGAAAGGGGCAGCTAGAAATACTGATACGAAAGAGCGAGAGGATGGTATTCTCTCTCTCTCATATGTTAAAGGCTCGAATAGATGATGCATTGAAAATAATTTGAGGTTATATTATCTTGGAGCATGAAGCCTGTCATATTGTCCCCATTAGAATTATGAATCTCCAGCAATAAAACAATTTGATTGGTGATTTCTTTGCCAGGTTCAAACACAAATAAATGTAAGTCGTCCTCTGCAACTGCTAGCAGAACTGAAAATACTGAAGTGAAAAAGGGGAAAAGACATATCCCTTCTGCATCAACAGCGCTAATTCTTGGTTCTATGCTTGGTCTCCTGCAAGCTATATTCCTTGTATTTGGGGCAAAAATTCTCCTGGGTGTTATGGGTGTGAAACCTGTAAGTGTCAGCATCATTAATACTGTTAGCTTTCAAATTTATTTGGTTTTCTTGTCACTTAACAACCTTATATAATCTGAATTATTCTATTTGGATGAACTGTTACAGAGAAATGTCTAAATGACGCTTGAAAAGGGAACTAACTCAATTTTATTGAACAGGGTTCCCCTATGCTAAAGCCAGCACTTAAATACTTGACTTTGAGATCACTAGGCGCCCCTGCAGTTCTTCTCTCCTTGGCCATGCAAGGGGTTTTCCGAGGATTTAAGGATACAAAAACACCTTTATATGCTACTGGTAGGCAGAGGTTTCAAAATGTTGCTTCTACTTAAAGATATACATACTAAATGTGATTTACCTTACCTCAGTTCCTTTTTTCCTGATGCAACAGTTGCGGGAGACCTAACAAACATCATTTTAGACCCAATATTTATCTTTGTCTTACGACTAGGAGTCAGTGGTGCAGCCATTGCACATGTCCTTTCTCAGTAAGTAAATTGTCTTTGCTCCCATTTGACAATCCTGTTTTTTAAATCTATCGATGTGGCAAACATTCTTCAGTCTTCACTGCTAAATTTCTATTGACTAATGATTGTTGCAGGTATTTGATTACGGTGATCCTCTTATGGCGATTGATGAAACTAGTTAATCTTTTACCTCCAAGTCTTAAAGACCTGCAATTGGCCCGATTTCTTAAAAATGGTGAGGGGTTCAATCATACAATAGAGTTAGTTTTTCTCTAAAGCTGGTTATGTTGTCTACAACTTTTTTCCTGTTTAAATTTTATTTTTGGTTTCATTTCAACTAGTTCCATGTAAGAAAACAGAACTAATTCTCTCTGACTCTGCTCTAACAATAATTATCGACTATCGTGCATGGCCACAGGTTTTCTGTTATTAGCAAGAGTAATAGCAGTCACATTCTGTGTGACATTGGCAGCATCAATGGCTGCTCGGCTTGGTTCAACACCTATGGCTGGATTTCAGATCTGCTTGCAGGTCTGGTTGACATCATCTCTTCTTGCTGATGGTTTAGCTGTTGCTGGACAGGTAAAAATCTTCTACCATTTTTCTTTTCTTTTTTCTTTTTAAAATAATTATGGAACAGTTTTCTGGTAGTTATCTGACGACCATAATGTGAAGATCATCCTCTAATGGGAAAACGAGAGTACATTCACTGTATGTGCAATTTACAAAAGATTACACAGTGATACAAAGTTGAGAAAAACAATGCAAATGCAAACCAAAACCTAGAATTGTTCTTTTTTAGTAGTAATCACATCTGTTTTATGCAAGAACTTTTACAGACTTTCCATGGGAACGTTAATTAATGGTTGATTAACCTATCTGTAATATTGTTCTTGCCCACATTTTTAGGCAATTCTTGCTTGTGCATTTGCTGAGAAGGACTACAAGAAGGTGACAGCTGCAGCAACTCGGGTAGTGCAGGTACTGAAAAACAAAAAGAAAAAAAAAATGAAATACTTCTCTGTAGATACTCAAACTTCATGAAGTTTAAAGTAGTTTCCCTTTCTAGGAGGTCAAGTTCTGCGTAATTGAATCCTGTAATGTTTATACTCACCTGCATCCCAGAGTGAGCTTTAAAATGGTCAGAGCTCTAATTCTTGAAAGGTTCGACTTTGTAGATGAGTTTTGTCCTTGGTGTGGGGCTTGCTGTTGTTGTTGGAGTTGGTTTATACTATGGATCAGGAATCTTTTCCAAAGATGCTAGCGTTCTGCACATCATAAGTATAGGAGTACCGGTAATTCTCCATACATCTACAAGCTCAAAGTCTAAAAAATGTCTGCAATTTCTTTCAATGAGCTTAACTGAATTCCTGTCCCTCCACCCTTCAGTTTGTAGCGGCCACACAGCCAATCAACTCATTAGCTTTCGTCTTTGATGGTGTGAACTATGGAGCATCAGACTTTGCATTCACAGCTTACTCCATGGTAAGTTTCTAAGCCCCCTCTCAGCACATACAGAGACTTAATTCTTTTTCACTTTCCCAAATCTCTTGTAACAAATATTTTCCTGTCCCATTTTTTCTTTCGTCAGATATTAGTAGCTGGAGGGAGCATTGCATCAATATTCCTTCTCTCCAAAAGCAACGGTTTTATAGGAATCTGGGTTGCTTTAACCATTTACATGGCTCTCCGCACCTTTGCTGGTGCTTGGAGGTAACGCTTTTTTACCCCATATTTTAACCATCTCTATCATGTTATTGCTGAAATATATGAATCAAACCATGGCTTGGACAAAGGTTTGATTGAAAGTGCTGCTATACTTGCAGGATGGGCACTGGAACTGGACCTTGGAAGTTCCTTACAAGTCGATCCATGCAGTAGGATTTGGAACTCCAAGAAAGCTACGACCCAAGGAGAAAGTCATTACTATTGTTTGCTTACAATTTCTATTTTGTGCAAGCCTATTGCTTTCGTGTTGTTTGAATTGGTGGTGATACGTTTCTTACCACTTTTTTTGTTTTAACATTTTAGTTTCTTACTTACCCCTTTTTAGAAGGGCACAATAGTTCGGATGTAAACCTGCCTTCCTCTCCATCCTGTCTTAGTCTACACCAAGTACCATAACATATTACAAAATAAAATCTGATGTATTATAGCAGAATAATAGCAAGGCTTACGTGCAGTAGCATCACTCTTTCTTACCACAAAGGAAAAAACATTGAAAGCATATTACTCTCCTGTAGATGTAGTCACGAGCTACGCGAAATGCGAAACCCAGGACAAATGCCACAAAGACAAAAGGTCGCTTTCAGTTTGACCCCTCTTGCCCACCGAAAGCCCCGTTTGAGTTTACTTTGGTTTGGGGTCTTCCTCATGCGGTGACGTCAAACCATCAGTGAACTTAGCTGCCCCAACTCAAGCATCCACTGTTTCTTCTGCAAACCCTGTTCCAAGGTCCAACGTTGTCTCCTTCCGAACTGATAACCCTACTGCCACGGAAACTACTCAGTCCTCGTTTCTGCAACACAGCTGGAAGAGTGCAAAACGGAAACAGCTGCACCACATTTTCTCCGTAGTACAGACAAGTATTGATACCTAAGTCCACCACTGTTGATTTATTAGAAGAATTTCCACCATGTTTCCTCCAGCAGATGCAAACCCTTCAAGTTGCTGACATATCGTTTTTAGAATCTTTTCCAGCTCCTGAAGAAATCAACATTCGGCTCCTACCAGGCAAATGCATCCTTGATCCTACTTCTGAAAGTAGCTAATCCGACCAGAAACGACAATGGCAGCTGAACCACAGAAACAGGTTCAAGGGATCTGTGATGCAACGATGCACCCAGACCGACAAAACAAGTAACAAAAACCCAAGCGGACAACCCATGCATGACCCTATCATGACCCAATGATTAAAATAATGAAAGCTTTGTGATTATAGTAATCATAGATGATGCCTTTGATCCCTAAAAGAGGCAGAGGCAGCTTACAGTCATGGTGGCGTCCTCGGTTATGATGATCCATCCATCTTTGATGATATTTGATGATTCTTGGAACCATACCATTTTACACTTGAGAATTAAGCAAACATTAATTCTCAACCGACCATCAAAGGCAAAGCCCTGGGAGCCGTGTCACGTGCCCCCACAGATCACTATCAATGAAGAAAGTAGAAACCACAACCATTTCTTACCCGACTCCATAAAAGACCAACCGACCTACTTTACAGGGTGAGTGATTGCCATCATAGAGAGGTACACACTTCATCCCACTCCCCTAAACGAGAGCACACCCATCACCTTTAGAAAGTTGGATCCACATTCCGATTCAAGAAAAGATGTCCCTTAACAAGCTCCCTCCCCCATCCAACGATTCATGATCTCCTTCTCAAGAAAGATTGAAAGAATCCGAAAAAGTATCCACTCAACCAATCCCCTTCCCTCAGGGGGGGGCCACCACATCACAGATCCCCATGCATGAATACTTCACACGAATAAGAACTGACCATCGAGTGAGCAAAATGTATGACAGAGAGAGTTGCGAACGGGTATGTCCAAGCCAAGCATATATATAAAGAAAAAAAAAAAGGTATTGAAATAACAGATACAACTTTAATTCGGCTTTACATCATCCAAGGGAAACGCATTACTGCTGCCTCCCCGTCCTTCATATGATCCCACAAAATGCATTTTCTAATCAAAATGCATATCTTCTACACTACATAAAAAAGAATCACCTCCCTCTCCCTCAGAATTCTTTCTTTCACTAATTTTCCCCAGGAAAATATCATCAAAAAGATACAAAGCCTTAAACATGTAGCTACCCTTCCTTTAATAAAGAAAATCATAGTAAAAAATAGTAATCCTAGAAACAGATATGATGGAAGAGAAAGACCAGAACCCGGGCTCCATTGCTTAATATTTAGCCCAGGAAGAGGCTTTCTACACCTTTTGCAGGAATTCTGCAGTAAACAATAAATGATAAAAAAAAATTGAATAAAATTCCCAGAAATTTTCCACCAACTCTTTACGCCACACTTCTTTTTTCCTGCCTTCAGCACTTTCACTTCCCAGTTCTATCTTTCTCACTGGCAAAGGACCCATAAAAATTATGTACCTTGAGAAATCTGTTTTTTCACTTATCTTGATGAGGAAAAAAAATGAACTCTTGTTTCTCTAGACTACAAGCTGATCGAGCTGCATCTGCTCAAGCCAAGCTCCTATAACAGAATGATCGACAGAATCGATCTGGGAATTAGAATTATTCAGAACCTCACCAGGTGGTGCACCACCTGGCACAGAAACAGCCAACTTCTCTTTCATCATCTCAGGTGGGGATTCCTTCACAAGAGATTGGACCCATGACAAATCAGGCTCCTCACCGTTGTTCCCCAGCTCAAATGATGATGATCTCCGCAATTCACCCATTTCATCTCCATTAACTGACCAGTCCAACTTTCCATTAGGTGATCCCCACTTGGACCAAGAAGAATTCACAGGAGATCCAACAATTGAAGCAGGATTGTTCGATCCAAGTTCCCTTGAGCTAAGGCTGCGTAGCTGCTGCTGCTGCTTCTCACGCTGAACAAATGCTGAGATGCGAGCAGCCATAGGGGAGATTGGCTCAGTACTTCTTGGTGACATTCTTCCAGGAGACCCAACACCAAAAGAAGCCTGCAACAGAGGATGCTCAATATTTTTGGGTGAGAAAACATTTGTACTGATTGGAGATAAGATGCTCTGTTGCTGTTGGAATTGATTAAGAACAGCTGATTTATGGGTTGGGGAGAATACAGCAGAAGCAGCTGTCTGATCAGTATATCTAGGAGATGAAGAGATTTCTGCAGAAAACAGCTCTTCAAGGTTTGAAGGAGTTAATGTTTTAGACCAACCAGAGCGACTCACGGACACTGAGTTGTTACGGGACTGAGAGAAACAGGTTAAATCATTTAGAATCTGTTGCTGGGCATCAAAATCACGCAACATGTCAAAGTCCCCAGGTGGGATGTCTCGGGCACTAAGGGAGGATCTCAGGCGGCTTGATTGAAGGTTGCTTCCAGGGAGATGAAGTGTTGGAACATTTGGCTGTGGCCATGCTGCAGATGAGTGGGAAAGGCCATTTGCCGACGGAGACATGCCCTGATTAAATGGTGAAGGAGACATGCCAGATACTGATGAGGGTGAACCAGGTAAAAGGCTCATAGCAGCAGCCATGTCCATGACATTAGCAGCAGATGCAGATGAGCGTGGTGAAGGAACAGCAGAGCCGGTAGAGACATACAGCGGGCGCAGTTCCTCAGCTGTATGAGCAAAAAAGCAGACCCGCCTATTACAACTTGTGCCATCCTTGCACAGCCGAGTCCGGTATTGTGCTGGATGTAGCCAACATTCAAAAACTCCATGGGCATATTCACACATATCCCCTCGTCTACAAGCCCCTTTTCTGAAATCAGGGCAAGGTACACAGCTGTAGTGGTACTTACGTGGGTCCCTTCTGCGTGCATTCTCTCCTGGATGGACAAATGGACACTCTGTCCAATCATGGGAGTATGCTCTTGAGCAAGGGCGGATCTTGAATGAAAACATGCGAAACTCATCAGTTGCATAAATGCTGTTCTTGATATCAGGGAGAGATGGATCAACTGGGTATTCTTTTTTCTCAGGTGCAGAATTAACAGGTATATCATTGAATTTTGAAGCCATTGGAGAAGATGCCAAATTCGAAGGAGAAGGTGGTGATCCATTCTCCAGTGAAGAAGAAAGGGTTGGCGAGCTAGAGGTAGAGTTATCAATGGATATCCTTAAGTTGTGCTCCCTAAAAGAGTCATCAGAAACATGTCCTGAAAGAAGTTCTTCAAGAACAGCTCTCATGCTTTGAAGCTTTGGATGTACAACAACAACATCAACAGGTCGGTGGCCAATGGCATCAGTGCAATTCGGATCAGCACCAGCTGATAAAAGTAGCTTGACAACATCAATTGCATGAAGAGATCCACCCGAGGCAGCACAGTGAAGGGCAGTACTTTTGTTTGTATCGCACGATAGGTTGACATCGGCCGCTGAGTGAGTCAGTATAAGCTTAACTGCATCAACACTACCATAGGTAGCAGCAACCATTAATGGAGTTCTATGCTTTGCAACTATTTGGTTTGAGCCCTTTTCACGACTATACCAAAGTCCAACCTCATCGACTGAAGAAGCATCCTGCACTATGGATTGCTTAATGCCCTCAACATCATTGTTAGAAGCAAGCTCAAGTAAGCTGGAAAAGGAGTCTTCAGTTTTCACAGTTAGATGATCCATGTCTTTGGCGTTAGATGTTGGTTCTCTAGTTGACGTAGGATTGGACTCAGATTTTGATTGCTCCGGACCACCGCACATGCTTCAGTTACCTGGAAATTCATGAACCAAGAATATATAACTTGTTAAAACAAATTAAAGGATCAAAACCCATCTAGTAATAGCTTTGATGCTCAGAAAATGTTTGGATCACATGGGCATACAGAACATCTCAGGAAAATAACTTTAGAAATGGCAAAAGAATGCAAGCCGGCATCAATTTCTTAAAAGAAAAATAAAAAGAAGAAATAAGGTTAAGTGAAACACAATATATCATAAGAAAAAGGAAAACAAACATTGGCAGCCAAAGAAACCATTACATTGACAAGGAAAATAGATTTAGGATAGAATTACTTCATCCTTCAAAAAGAAACGCAACACAACAATATAACTATCAGATTTTCACAAATTCTTCCTTTCCAAACATAGTAAAACAAGAAAGTGTTCACGTGAGAATACACATGCATTATCAGTAAGCAAAGGTGACTACTCTGGCCAGTTTAAAATAGAAGAAAACCAACAATACACACTGAAATTCTATTGATCACAACCAGAACTCAAAGGATTAATAAGAAAAAACCGACAAGTATTAGCCAATTACCAGCTACAAGCATCTTAAGTTTCTGTCAGATGACAGATCTGGTCATATTTTAGAATAATCTAAGATAAGTACTCGACAGAAAATTGACAAAGCCAACGATTCCATTCCCAAGATAAAGAAATTTTATCTTGAATAAGACGAATCAACATATGAAAAGAACTATACAACCTTTTTTATAGATTATAACAGACAAAACACAAAGTATTTAAAAAGAAAAACTTATCTCTTGGAAGGAATAAAACGCAGGCAAAGCAAGAATAAGATCAAAAGAGATTTCATGAATATTGGTTAGTGACTACAAACCCAACCCAGAATAAGAACGCAATCTTTAGGTTTTACGGTAGAGATTTATTTGAATCTCTAGTATTAGTCCAGATTTAAGCCCCTAATTTTTCAGAATTAACGAATTAAAAAATTATCAAATATTGCTCAATAAAGTTAGAAGAAATCTCAAATAAGCTTAAAAATGAAAACTAAAAAGGAAAGGAAAGATTCTCTCCCCATCATTTTCCATCCATTCTTTGCTCGAAATCAAATCAATCAAAGAACAAGTATCCAAAGCTAACAGCTACCTCGAATCTTAAAAGAACTAAAATCATGATTTGAAATAGCATCTCCACTGTTTACAGGATCACTAAACACATTTAATTAAAAAAATGTAATCTTGAGTTAAAATATCAAGCTCCCAATCACTCCCAAATTTGCTCAACGTAAAGTCCGTTCCTCAGATACTTCAACGTTAGCTTAAAAAAGAAAGAGAAAATCGAAACAAAGAAATGGAAATGCAAATCAGCTGATCACAAAGTCAATGTCCAAACTTGATCAAAAAGCAAAAGATCAATACACAATCCAAAAGTAAAACTTACCAAGAAAACAAGAAAGATTAAAGATTGAAGTAAAAAATCCACTGAGAAGAGCAAAGCTGAAACAGATCTAGCGAGAAAGGGAGATAACAGTGAAGTGGTATGGAGTGTGTTGCTTACGGATCCGAAGAGTAAATATCAAAGGATAGAATAAGAACCGCCTTTAATAAACAACCAAACCATTTATCCTCAAACAACATCTCCATCGATGCTACCAAGAAAACTAATGAAAGAGATTTCTTACCCCCTTTTGGGGTCTGCACAGAGAGAGAGAGAGAGAGAGAGAAAGTAACGTCTAGAAACTGAAGTTGAAATGAAATGAAATGAGGAGAAAATGCAATCTTGTGTTTTGAAAAAAAAATAAAAAGTGGAAATGACAAGGCCCCGGGTTCTTGGGGAAGAGGAAACTGGGAGAAAGAAAAATGAGAATACCCTATGAAATGTCATTGAAATTCACACCAAATTAGCTTGAAATGAGAGTCAAATTTGCTTCGCCCCTTTTCTTTTTATAATTGGGACTTGTACTTGTACCCGTAAGCAAGACATTACGTTCTTTTCAAAAGATTTATTTTCCGATATTCTCATATTCATAAATTTTTCCGAAACTCTTATTTCTAAAATATGAGATTGCAGCATTAATTGTGTGATTTTCTTCCACACTGGAACGGGTAACGTCTTGAGATTATTTTGTCATTATAATATTACCATTTTCTTAATATAGTAATTAAATCTAATATGATATGTAACATTCAAGTTTATATTTCCATCCTTCCTTAATCGATGATCACTATTTGGACTATGTTTTTTTTTTTGCTTTTATTATATCTAAACAAATTTTAATTTGTATTTAAATAATCTTTAATCATAAAAATAATAAATGAATCGAACTTGAGAAGCATTATGGCTTTTTAATGGTCAAAAGCCTATGGGTGAAGATAAAAAAATCCTTATTTTATTTCAAAATTAAACGGTTGTTCAAATTTTGCCGAGATATGCGACGGGCTGTGCCAATTACGGAAGGAGAAGGAAGGACTATAAGGTTGGTTTGGTGGAGGCGTTCAAACCGACCAGAGAAAGCGGACGTGGAACCAGAAATCAAAGTGGATTTGAGTTGGGGGGGCTTTGGAGTCCGCCAATCAGAAGTAAGGAGGGGAACGGATGTCAGGGCAACGGTGAATTATGGTTAATTGTGGGGTGAAATCCAATTGAGAAAAGCAAAATTGAGGTAAGTTAGAAGTTAATTCTTATGGTTTAATTTTAACCATGAATATGTAGCATCATTTTGTTTAGCTTCTAAGGTAATATGATGGGTATTTTAATTTGGTTGGTTTAGGGTGTGTTAAAGTTTAATAAACGAAAGAGAAGACGAAGGGAATTAAGAAGAATAATTTGCTTAAATAAGTAGCCTAGATTCTTTTAGAGATGTAGACAAGTTAAGATAGGCATGTGTTTCCCACAACGTTTTCCTCATCATGGCTCAAAACCAATTTCTTAATTTTTGTCTTTGCACATGTTACACAATGGATTTCCAAAGCAATCATGTCTTAATTTGCGCAATGAATTTAAATTTCAAAGGCTCACACGTATTTTAACAAATATATGCATATGTATGTTTATTAGCTTAGTTAATTTTCTTGCTTTATATATATATGAACTTATTTGGTTGATGAACACATGGTATTAATTTATATATGTGTGTGTGTTGCGTTTGTTCAATAGAGAAATAATTGTTGAAAAGGAGGAGTCACGTCTCCTCTCTCTCGTGGTTTGATTCTAATGAGAATTAGATTCAATAAGAATTGTAATGATACTTCCAACTTGGAGGTGTATGGGCAAAATAATAGCATCCTCTCGTCTATTATTCCAATCCATCACTCTCTTTCTCAAGCAGAGATATTGCTTTCCATCTTCCGTCCTGTTTACAGGCTCGCTCGTTTCTCCATCATCTTTAACCCCCAAAAGCAAAAACAAACTGTTCTGTTCATCCAGCATACACGAAAACTATCGAACAAACCAGAAAAAAGAAACAGTGAAAGATGGGATTTAAGGCCCACAAAAAAAAAATATTTCCAGGGAGGGTGTTTTTTGATAAGTCTATTTCAACAACCTTGGAGGAGCAGCAGCTACCTGATGGAGATTAACAAACAAAACCCAAATGGGCAGTTGGCCCCATTGTCCAAAAGTTCCTCCTGCTAGTAAACCACATGCAATGTCGTCATTCCAGATTTTTCCTCGTGACGGTGACACAAACTTTTGGCCTGGTTTTCTTAGCTCCCTCTCCCGGGAACCATTCCAAAGAGGAAGTAGGAACCACTGGTTATTTCAGCAATGCTCGTCATGGTACACTTGGCAATGCCATGTCTGTATCTTAGCTTAGCTACGCTACCGTCCCCATCACGAAGATCGATGTGGGTGTGGGTTTTTCTTTCTCCCCTACGACTGAAAGAAGAGTACTGAGAGCAACCTTTTATTCCTAAGAAAATAAAATTAGACACAGAAAAGAAAATCAATGGTAGATGCATGTTAGGCCAATATATTTTCCATCAAAGCAAACCGGTGGGGGTCATCAACTCTTAGCTCCATGGGATCATCTTATAGCCAGTGGATTGATGAACCAAAGTTTGGTTCGAATAATTGTACTCAAAACACACAACTGTCCAAAGATGGGGTTCATCATGTATCACTTCAGTTTTTCCTTCGTAGATATTGACACAAATTATGGGGCAAACCTTTTCATCCAGAGGGTCGGATAAACGACAAGGACAGGATTGACCAAATCGAACACACAATTTTCTCCCGTCATGTCATCAAGAAAAAAAATGCATTTTAAATTTTTATTTATTCTTTCATTATTCTGGCAAAACATACTGCTAGTAGCCACTACCATTAATTAATAATCAAAAGGAAAGATATAATAAACTTGTGGACGGGGCAGAAGGCCATATGTGCACGTCTCCGCAGAATTAAGGCCACCAATCATCAATATAAGTTCGGGTCTAACCTGTTGCCTGTTTGCTTACTTGGATTTAATTTATACTTACTTGTTTGGTTCAAGTGCTTAGATTAGATGCCTAGTTTGGCTTCTAAAAAACTATTAAGATTAGGGTTCCCAAAAACTTCAAACCTAATTATGTATTATAAATAGAAAGTTTTTCCCGCATTTGATCTATGATGTTTGAAACATAATTGGGATAAAACTCCTCTCATGTTAGCACGAGCCTTAGGGTTTAAGGAAATTTAGGCCGCAGCCCACGTCGAGAGCATGGAAAACCACACTAGTTATTCTATATAAATGCCCGCATGGCCCGATATAGGAAAATCCTCTCTGCACGCATGCAGAAACTCCCATGAATAATTAGGAGACAGACTAGAAACAACACAAGACTGCACCAAAAAAGAGGGAGATATATTTTACAATATTTTTACATCAAGATTTTCAACCCCAGCTCCTTGCTTCAACTTGTATTTTGAGTGTTTTCCTTTGACACATTGTGTCACAAACTGTTTAATTCCTTTCTGGTGCGCAGGCCTCTTCTCAACACTCTTTTCTCTCCTCTTCTCTGCTTCTAGTTCTTCCTCCAACTGCAAACATAGCTGATTCAAAGGCACAAAAGAAAACCATCAGACTAATTCCTTGGGTATCAAATAATCAATCAAAACGCGATATCGGTACTTAATTGTTCTCACCTTTAGAAGACGGTCCTCTAGTTGGTCCAGCCTCTGGATGAGCGTTCCTTTAACCTGAGTCTCCACCATCACATGATCAATAGGACGGCAGTGCTTCTCCAGGCTGCTTGGGGAGGCCAAATCCAAGGATGATGGATGACCCTCGCTGGTGAAAGTCCCACTTGATGGGGTGGATGCGCAAGAGCTCCTCGGCGACTTGCTGCACCCTCTTATTTCCTCCAACTGCCTTAACTGATCATACGATAAAACAAAAACATCATCAAATGTTAATCTGACAGAGTAACAGTAGTCTGCTACGTTAGCCTTCTGCTATGGGTCGACATTAATTCATTCTTGTGGATTTTGGAAAGAGACATAATCATGTTCATGTAGTAACAGAAAGCGGAAAGCCATACTCAAAACATCAAGGAAAAGGACGTACCATGTTGTCTAATCTGTCCAGCCTAGAGATCACCGGTTCTTCACTACTGATGATAGCCATCGAGAATAATCGTTTGGCGACACAGAAAAGCTCGGGATGTGTCTTAAAACAACAACACTGACGGAGTAACTAAAGAGCAAAAAGATATATACAGGTAAAATGATTATTCGTGGCAGCTTCCAAGCAACTGTGGCGTGTGTCACGACATCTATCTTGCTCGTGTCAGAGCAATGCTGATCACAGCCATGATCAGGATAATGATAATCAGAATTATCCCCTCCAAAAAATCAAAAAGGATAAATTGATGAATCCATGTGCTGGTTGTGCATGTCAGGGGTTGCATGCAAACAACGTGGGGTGACCACGTGCGAACCAAAGCTATATGTTTGTATACGTGTAAATGTCCATATGTTTCCCGAGGGAACGCAGCCCAGCCAGCGATTGGTTTGTATAAATATATCATTGTTAAACTTGTTATCAAGTAAATGATGTCAGAAATATACATTTTCACTGATTTTGCATTTAAATAATCTCACTACTTTAAATAAACATTATATTTAATTACTTTAATCAAGTTGATTTCGTTACTTTAAAACATTTCAATGTTTGAGTACAGGTTGAAAAAAAAAAGGGACTTTCTGTACTGACATGCAATCCAGGAATAATAGATGAATCGAACTCGAATTTTGCTTATAAAATCAGAACATATCTACTTGAATAAATTGCATTTTTCCAGCAGTGCTTGACCATAAGTTATGTCCAATATATTACATTACACTCCTGGTAAAACAAGATGATTTCATACAACCTATACTCTGCACATGATGTGAATCGACATACACAAATTATAATTAAAAGACAGAAGAACAAGATAATGAACGTAATTCCCCACCTTTTGGCATTTGCAGCTTGGTGCGACCAAATATGCGTTCAGTCTTTTATCAGGTATCCCTCTCTTAACAGTTGATTCCACACTCTTCTACAGCCGGCCCGGTAACTCTAGTTGTAAAGGGATCAATCCGCACCCACAGCAAAGAGAAAATGGAGGCAAGCAGAATCGACCATACGACAACAATGGTGGGTGTCCGGTTTTGGCGTCCCATCAAACCTTTCAGGAAGGGGTAGAGATGGATGATCACCCAGAAGGCGAAGAACAGCTTACCAAAGAGAGGACCCCATGATTGATAACCGCTGTTGATGGCATAGGAGATTCCTGCAACAACACCCACCAAGTTTATAATGAGGAGAGTAGTTGGTGGGATGAGAAGGGTTGTCCATTTGAACATGTAAAGTTCAGCAAAATCCCCGTCTTCGTCTGATGCTTTTGAAGTGACGGTGAAGTTCGTGTCGATGCCAGCAAGTACTTTGAGAAGCCCTTGGAAAACAGCAAAAAGATGTGACGAAACGCCACCAATAACCCAAAACTGTTCATTTCTCCACCACTCGTCGATTCCAACACCACTCCACCTCATTTCTAAGATACCAGTAGCAAAGATGGAAAGAAAGAGGGATATAAACCATATACTAGCAATGTTACTAATCTGCAGTCACAGCAAACCAAACAAGAAAAGATTTAGCACACAATGCAGCAATCTGCAGCTTGCATTTAAGAAAATAAAGGGACTTAATGAAGTACTACTAATTTGGTCCAAAGAAAAAAGTACTAATAAGGTCTGTTCCGAGAAGACTTGTCTTCACAAAAGCATATAAGTATGAACTGATTCCAGACTCATAACGGGTAACTACTATATATCCACTAAATAGATAAAAAGATGACAGATTAAAAATGAAAATGCCAGATAGGCAACAAGTTTATGTCAAGACAGGATTATATGTGCATATATGCAAAAGAAACATAGGTTACAGAGAGGACTAACCTGTGGGATAATGAACTTGTTAGTTAGCAGGCAGACAGCTGGCAGTGTGCAATACATGACAAGAGGAATAGCAGTAACTGGGTAGATGGTAGTGTTAACATATGCAAACCGTTCAAGCCACTTCAGCCTACCACCATAGCCATACCAAAGAGGGCAATGCCTACTGAAAAGAATTTCCACAGAACCAAGAGCCCATCTAAGCACTTGGTTCAGACGATCTGAAAGATTAATAGGAGCAGACCCTTTAAAGGCTGGACGCTTTGGCATGCAGTAAATTGATCGCCAACCACGGGCATGCATTTTGAATCCTGTAAGAATATCTTCTGTAACAGAACCATATATCCACCCAATCTGCAGGCAGAAGAAAGTATGAAAATTTAACTCGAATATGGCAGATGAAAAGAGAAAGAAGTAGAGAAGATGAAACAAAAATACATGCATAGAGAACAAGAGATAATCCTGCACATGCAACAAAATTTCAAAATCAGATTAAACAGAATTAAGGCAAGCATTTGTCAAACTTCCTAGGAACGGTTATGGATTTTCAAAAATTCAAAATTGGGATTTAAATATGCAGACAGTCCCTCATCTAGGAAGGGAAATATGCACATTAAACAAGCTTCTATTCACTGACATGCAATTTATTGGGTACTATACTATACTCTAATTCCTTTCTTCTTCTAAATCAGAAAAGAAACAACCTTTACATAATGCAGTAACTTACTAACATTAACTCAATAGCCTTGAAATCTGGCAATCAATTTTTCATTTAGCGGGAATCACACACTATCTGAAGCCTTTAAGTGATAAACATTTTGGGGTGCAAAAGGAGAGGGGGGAGCAACTTACCTCACTTCCCCAGTCTGTTTTGTCCTCGTATCCACAGCTGATAACATGAATTGCTTCCTTAAGAAGTGTTTCTGGTGTTGCAGACTGAGGGACACCACCATTCTCCATAAGTGTAGAGGCAACAAAAACAGCAGATTGACCAAAACGTTTCTCCAGACTCATTTGTGACATTAGTAGTGACTTTTCATCATCAAACCCAGCACCTGATTCACAAATACACAAAGGAAGACATGGAAGAGACTTTTCCTCATCAGGCCAAAAAAGGCATTAACTAATATTTACCACTACAACCAAAAGACAAGAAAGCATATAGTTTACCTTCTACACCCTCTTCTATATCCTCTAGACTGAATATTGGCACAGTAGGATCAACATGCTTGCCAGATTTCTTCTTGTCTGATCCCTTTTTACTTGATTCTGAACTCTTCTTACGAGAACCTCCACAGAGTGAAGACAGCACCCCCAATTTTCTATGCTTGGGCTTAAGTGGAGGTTCATATCCATACAATGCGGTTCTATTGAAGACACATCCCGTACCGACATAAACAGGTCCTTGAACGCCATCCAGGCCCCTCAAGTTTATCTGGAATTTGACAAAGTATAGAAGATGTGTCAAAAAGAATTCTATAGAACAGAATGTTCGATAAAAAACTGATCCAGACCAGACATTCTACATAACTGTAAAAACTAAAAACCAATCAGCAACATCATTAACAGAAGTGCAAATATTTTGCTTGTGAAAGATATGGAGCTTACATCAAAAAATACAGTATTTCTGTTGGCATATCGATCATTCCGATCGATACCATCAAACCTTTGTGGAAATTGAACATAACAAACATGCTTCCCAAGGTTTGGATCCATCAGAAAACACATAGCTTCCCTTAAGGCCTTGCTATTATTTATGTAGTGATCACAATCAAGATTCAACAAGAAAGGTCCATTAGTAAGGACTGCTGACACTCGAACCTGCAAGAAAGAGTCAATGACAGCTAGGATGAGATAAGATAGACAACAAAGAGTACAAATAAGGTGAAATTTGGGAATCCACTTACAAGCGCATTCATAGCACCAGCTTTCTTGTGGTGTTGGAACCCTGGACGCTTTTCACGAGAAACATAAACTAACCTTGGCAGCTCATTGCCTTCAGCATCAAGGCCCCCACTCTGGCCTAAGAAAACCTACAAATTTTACAAAACCTTAGTGACATTAACAATGGATGTAAATTACTTGTAACTCTGGGAATCAAATAAATCTGATTCAAAGTAATGATTATCCAATACACTGTGAATGGAGTGGAAAAACACAGAAGCAGAGTTGTTTTTCACTCATGAGTCCATTAATATTAACTTCCTTATTTACCATTAAATGGACACATGGCAAACATACAAAACCATTTGTGGAGTTTTTCCAGTCTACCTTTGAGTGTGTATATTAATAAACTAGAAAATAAGAACAAACACCGTCCTGATTAGAGCAGATGCATGAATAGCGCATCTATGAATGCAAAAATAGTCCTACCTGGATCATTCCTGGATGGTCTCTGGTGTTATTACCAGGCCATGGTGTACCATCCTGCATAATCCATCCTTCTTCAGGAACTTTCTGTGCCTTTGCAACAAGCCCATTAATTCGAACTTTGAATTCTTCATATTCTCTCTGCAACAGAAACAAAGAAGTGACATGATGAAAATATGAATATGGAGCAATAAGACAACCAAGTACCAACCAGGCTAACCCTTACCTTCATAGCTCTACGTTCTTTAACGAATGATGTTTGAACTTTATCCTTCAGGTAGTCAATCTTCAATGCAAAATACCATTCCGGAGCCCGAGGCTCAATGTTATATTTCTTGCAGAAAGGTACCCATTTCCTGGCAAACTCTGATGTCTCCGAGAGTGCTTCAAATGTTAACATAGCAGCACCATCATCAGAAACATAGCAGGAGACCTTATCAACTGGGTAGTCAACTGCAAGAATGGATAGCACGGTGTTGGCTGTCACGAGTGGAGGCTCCTTTAATGGGTCGACAGTACTCACAAAAATGTCAACAGCAGCTAATTGAGATGGTTCTCCTTCACGATCGTATCTGTTATACAGACAAGGAAATTAAATCACAAAAACAAGAATTAGACAAAGGGACTGAAACAACGCAACTGCTTAAAATATATTAGCAAGGATTCATGAGATAGGCACGAAGAAACAGCCTACCTTAAGGCAAGCCTATCAAGATACGTTTCACGGTTAACAGGAAGCCATTTAGGGAATTGATCCAATATCCAGGATATTGCAAACCAAATCTCACATATCACAGATATCAACCACAGAGCATAGGCATTTGGAACAGGGTTCGTTATTCGATAGTGCAAGAAAATGCATAGAATAATAAGCCGCAGAATGATGACCATCCGATAAGGGTTTATTTTAGATGAGGGAATCGAAACCTTCCTTGATAGAGGCTGCCGAGCTTCATCATTCCTGCAAATTAAGAAGTAACGCTATTGATAATTAAACTTAGGGAAGACAGATTTGTAGCAGGTTCAGCTCCCATACACCAGGAAGTTTACAATGGTTACTAATATCCAGGTTTTGCCTATTTCAGAAAATATTCTTCATTGCAGGATTTAGAAACATCCTAGACAAAGGATTGGAGAAGTATAATTGGGATTATAAAATTTTTTTAACTTGCCGTGGACTACTAACAAGAACCAAATAACGTCATAAAAGTTCTAGAATTTAATCAGATGGGAACGCACAGTAAAGAGTCATCCACAAGCACGTCAGTGCTGGCATCAATATCTCCAGCGCCCCTTTCAGAAGTAGCCTGGCCTGTA